GGGGCAGTAGCCCTTATCTTAATTTTGGTTGCCCCTGTCTGCCTGACATCTTCTGTCTGGACTGGTCCCCCTCAGCCTCTTCTCTGCTGGGCTCTGGAGGTCTAAACCCCATGATGTCATCACATCTGATGCAGGTCCACCGTGGAGTGCTGACTGCCACGGGACTGAGGATCAGGTGAGTATATCTGCTGTATTTGACACCCCCTAGACAGAACAAGCACTTACCCTAGTGGCGTCACAAGGGGGGGGTGCGGTGGTTGTGGCCCGCACCCGGGTGACACCATTGGAAGGGGTGACACCAAAATGACTGACAGTTATTTTGGCGTCACCCCCTCTAAAAGTGCGGGTATAGCCCAAATGCAAGGGTGTGATTTTTTTAAATTCCCAGAGTTCTTTTTCAACCCTTTGATGACACCAAACATGTCAAGCTTTAAATTTGTACGCACCTGCGAAAACGCGAAAAACGACCACACCCATAATTAGCCATAGGCGACATTTTAGAAGCTTTTACCGCTCATCAGTTTAGTGTTATCAGTGATTGACGGGTGCTGGGCGGGGGACTTTAAACATTTTTTTTTGTTTCTTTCGGGTTTTTTTTACTTTTTTTTTTCACACGTAACTTTATCATTATCACATAGGGGGGCTAAGATATCAAATTACAGTGACAGGACCTCTTTATGGAGACATCAGGGGTCTCCAAGACTCCTGTCACCTTGGGACCCCCAGAGAAGCTGATGAAGCAGAGATCTGCTTCTTTGCGATGTTTTTGTTCCGTGTTTCCATTGGGATACAGCCAAGTAGCCCTCGGAAACGCGCGTTTGTCGCGCGTTTTTTTCACCGCGAATCGAGCATATTCGATATGCCTAGGTATGAACAGAGCCTAAATCACTTCCTGCATTCACAGAACGGGGAGGAGATCAGAGGGAGATCGTATGTGGATCTTTCTCCGAACTCCATTCACAGAACCGCCGTTCCGGTCCTGGGCCTGCACAGAGCATAGCGGAGCCCGGGGTGGGCGGTGGTGGAGGGTGGGACCGCACACTTGCACTCATTATAGAAGCGATCGGGTGGCTCTAAAGCTGCCCGAATGCTTGTATGTAAACAGCCATCAGCGGCTGTTAACAATGCAGTTTCCTGCTCATGCGCCGCTGGGTGGTGTGCATGACGGGGGGGCAGCCATGGACGTTGTAAAATGCACAACTACATCCCCGGCCGTTTAGATACAATGGTAGGAAGGAAGGTGGTTAAAACACACGGATCTGGAAGATTCTCCACCAGAGAATGTTCGGTGAAAGTCACATTCAATGCTTTTAAAATACATCCCTTGGAGTCTCCGTGTATGTCAGGAGTGGCCGCACGGACTCCTCTATAAAGAGTGCTGATAAATATGCTGTACAAATCTCATTGTTACATTGTATTCATATCAGATCTTTGTCCTGCCAATGAAGAGACTTTCCTTTCATTTGTATATGACGTTACAGAAAGCAACATTGGGAGTAATAAAAATAAAAAAGGGGTTTTAACAAAAATGTTTATATTTCCAGCTTGACCCAGAACTGGAATAAACATCTCAGATTAAGTCTCAGAACATAAAACTTGGCAGACAAGGGGGTCTGCACCGCTCTGTGTGAAGGTCGAAGCGATTTATGATCCATGTGATGTTGTGCTTCTAATTGGACATTTCCTTTCCTTTATCTTCCGCCTGCAGCAAAGTCCAGCTCCTGTCTCCTCATCATAGTGCTGGGTGGGGGATTTCCTGACATGCTTCACCCCTTCAGCTCTCAACCCCCAACCACTGCATACCACCACCGACCCCTCCCCCACCCCCCATGGAGAACATTATGTTGTTCGTTTCTGGTACGGGCCTGATAATACATCAATATTGTGCAGATTACAAAATAAACAACACACAATACGTAGACAAAAAAAGTAACAAAACTAGAAAAAAAAAACAGTTTGATTTATTTTTATCAGTGTTTGTAGAAAAAAAAAGGATTTGGATTACTGTATTATGTATGTCTACAATATTCCCATTATAAACAATGTTACTTTGTATCCCTCTATCTCCCTCTGATCAATGTTTATAAACTATGTTACTTTGTATCTCTATGTGTCCTGTCTGAACAAATACAAATTAAGAAATTAGCAAAGAGTGGCGCAACTCTTTTGAACTGAAAAATTGGAGCAGATCCTGGAGCCCCTTTGTCAATTAGTAGCTATCTGCTCCATTTTCCATGAGGTGTCTGGCAGCTGGTGCTCACAATGGGCACAGCGGGTGTACAGACCCGGGAACTCAGCACAGGGATGGTGGGAGCCCCTCATAATGGGCACAGCGGGTGTACAGACCTGGGGACTCAGCACAGGGATGGTGGGAGCCCCTCATAATGGGCACAGCGGGTGTACAGACCCGGGAACTCAGAGTAGGGATGGTGGGAGCTCCTCATAATGGGCACAGCGGTTGTA